CCTTCTTCCATTCATTGCCTTGTGTGCCCCGTCTTGTCCACAACACTTCACCTAAATCATTGGTGACACCCAAGTACACATTCAGTCTTTCTATGTGGGCACCATGCATGTGGTACCTATAATGTAATGAATGCAATAGATATGCACGAATGAAAATATTCTAAATATTTATTTTATTTGAGAAAGTTTGACTGTTACCTTTGAAAAATAAACAAGTTGTATACATCCTTCCTAAGTCACGCCCTTTAGCAACGATAACTGCGTCACTAGAGGGCGTGCTTTATAGAAATGATGTATTATATATCCATTGTCGGTCCAAATAATTTCAGGATGAGTAGTCGTCACGCCACGCATGGGCGAGATAAATGGGTCTCATATAACAAAGATGGCGACTTTTATTTTTGCACAGATCAACGAGTAAAAACTGGGACGTTACCAAGTTTTAGTTGTTGTATTTTTTAGGTGATTGGAAGGTATGATCGAAGGAGTCACCGGCCGTAATTAGTGCAAGCCCCGCCCAGGCCAAACTTCATATAAGAAGAGCGCATTTGATTGTGGGAAAATCAATGTTTATCAACACAGGTGTCGCACATGCGCCGGGCGACGACTACGGCCCTTTATCTTCGATTCCTCTCTGTGCTTAAATATTTACTCACCAGAAGATTAGGCACTTAGGCTGGTCAGCCATGAAATCTACATCAGGACTGATGAACCTGGCTTTCTCACCTCTTTCACCGGATAATGTATTATCAATGTAAACAAACCAACCATTTGCTGACAAAAAATAAGCGAATAATTATTACAGTGTATTTATATAATTAAAATATCATATTAGATTCATTGTTTTGTTACAAATTGTTGAGACTGCGCCTGTATTCAGTATGACCACTGGTTTAGAGAAATCAATAACGAACTCACTCACTGTCAAAAACAGAAGTACCAAGGTAATTTGAATTTTTTTTTACTGTAATGGTTCGATTTTACCTCCAATTGTGTGGTCTCCATTTGGTCCAGTGTGTGGTGTCCCAGTGTTACTTTGTTGTCGAATCCAGTCAAAGTCATCGTCACTGGCATCAGTCCATCCACACTTGTCATCTTCAAATGTACAACTCTGGCCTTCAATACCTTAGAAAATAAACACATTGATTTATAAACAGATTAGACTAGAATAAGCATTATAAATCAGTATAACATTCTAATATTATTTGTTCAAAACAAATATTTCCAAGAATTCTGAGTAATAAACTAAGTTCAAGTACAAATAGGTTTCATGTGTTTGTGTTTAAAAAAAAAGTGTGTAATGTTCTCATTACAGTTTCTTCTATTGAAACATTGTGTATTGTGTTTATAGTGTGATATTGAAAAATTCGCTTTATTTTTCAGTTAGTAAACGCCTTCTTACAAAGATTTGTAAAATAAAGTTTGTAAATGTTTTTAATTTTTTGCTCATTTTTCCATTATAATGTACAATAGACCATTTTTCGTTCACTGCGAGAATCACGCGTTATGCGTGAAATCGAACGTAAAACAGGACAAACAAAGGTCATAGCGTCGTAGTCGCGTCAAACATCGCGTGGGATTCGACAAACGCGAAATTATTTCGGGGACATTTCCATGCTTAATAATGTGCTGTCCACATTTGATGATAGGCAGTTCGATTAAGTAAGGGTATTCGGAAGCAATATTCCTCTGTCGAAGATCGGCCGGTCAATGTAAGCTACGAAATAAAGAAATTCTAGTTCAAAATCAAATCATTCGATTTTTGCGGCAGACGTTCGACGCGCGTCTTTCATGCATCTCGCGAGATCTCGCAATTGTACGGAAAATCATCTATTATAAATACAAGGTTAATTGGGTTACGAGTCTGGGTATTGGTTTGGGGGATATATCGACGAGAGTTCTCCAGATTGTGTTCAAACTTGGATACATTCAATATTTAGAAGGTCGTCAAAACTATTTCGTGATTTGTTTTACTATTTATTCACTCAAGATTTTTGCAGGGGTGTAAACAGTGTTAAAATTATAAATACCAGAGAGATATTCAAAGATGCAATATGGACGGGCAAATATAATTTTTCCTATTGCTGTGTGATATTGTGTGTCGATAAATACATTAGACTGTGATTTAACACGAAATAAAAACGCTTTTCGTGTATCATACATCTGAGTATTCATTCAATGTCATAATGGAATTCTCTAGTACGCATGCGCACTAGATCACTGATTGTTTTGGCACAATACAACAGGTGCAGCCAACGGCCAAATTTTCCAAAACCGTCATTATTAATAATTGTCCATCATGTACATACTTTTTATCGATATTTGACACGTTTTTAAATTTGGAGGGGAGGGGTTAAGCTGTTCGTAATTCCCCTCCCACTAACGTCAAAAAAATGCCCTCCCACTGCATCTTGGTTCCCGCTGCCCTCTCCCCACTCATCACCCCCTCTCACTACCTTCCCTCCCACTAGTGTCTGCAAAAAAAATGCCCTCCCACTGGGTAGTGGTCTTCAGAGCCCTCTCCCCACCTGTTCTTACACATCTTCGAAATTCATTGTACAAGAGCTCAACCTACTTAAATCCCACATGCAGTTAATTCTTCAACTTGATGTTTTATGTGTAGATTCAAACCATACTCGAGCATACCTCAGCCATGACTCAGCATATTTCATTAAACCTCAAGTAGTGTGCGGACTTTGTTTTGTTTTTGCTAATTATTATTTTGAATTTAATTACTTTTTGTCAACATCTAATCATAATGTTGTCAAATTGGCGTGCCCACACCCAACATGTT